CATCATCTGGAAATAAACTGACCCTGCACTGTCCTCAGGCCTGAGTTTGGGAAAGAAGCTCCAGGTCTCTGCCATGCCCCAGGAAATACCGAGCTTATATTTAAGCCCCAGATTTTCCTTTGAATGGGGGTGGAAACAGGCTTGGTGAAAATAGTGACTTGAATTTCAGTGATGCAATGGGTTTTTTGGCTGTGAGGAGGGTGATCTCTGTGTATCAGGGGAAACCAAATAGAGCCCACAGCCACTCTGCAGGCACCCCAGTGCCCCAATGGGAGGGAGGGTCAGGCAGAGCATCCCTGGGATGCTGAGAGGAGCCCTGGGAGCCCAGCCTGGCGTCTGCAGCAGGGTCAGTACACTCATCTCTGCTCTCCCTTTGCAGTTCTGGACGTGAATGATGAGAACCCCACCTTCTTCCCTGCTGTCTACAACGTGTCCCTGCCCGAGGACGTGGCCCGCGATTTCAAAGTGGTGCGGCTCAACTGCACGGACGCCGACATCGGGCTCAACGCCGAGCTCAGCTACTTCATCACAGGTGGGAGCCCCGTGCCACGAGGGGAGCTGGGCTCGCAGCAGGGCAGAGGCTGCCCCATACCTCGGCCAGGGTGCTCTGCACTCCGGCTCTGACTTTGCCAGACCCTCAATCCTTGTCCGGCATCGCCCTCTGCTGAACAGCCCCGCTCGGCTCGCGGCCACGCTGACCACCCTGCTGACCCTGGAAAAGCATCAGCATGGGCAGAACACTGCTAGGGAGCAAGGCCTGGGGGGGGCTTCCATCGGTGTTTATGGTTGGAAGGCGTAAATGGAATTTTGGGGCATTTTTGGGTGGGTGGGGCTGGTGGGCAGCAGTGCCCGGCTCGCCCCACGGCTGCAGCACCTGCATGCAGCAGGAGGCTGGGGAATCCCCTGGCCACGGTTTGACTTGCAAACTGCACACCGAGCCCTCAGGAGGAGGGTAAAAACAGAAGTGCCACCAGAGAGCCACTTTTCCCACAGTAGCAGCCTGCTGTTCCATGTCCCAGCCCCTCTGGCCTCTCCTCTGCAGGTGAATCGGGGTGTGCTGTCCCACAGCTCACATGCACAGTTACCCCAATTGCCTCAAAGCACTCAGGAAATGACCCAGCTTTTCCTACAGCCATTGGATTGTTTCTGTGCTGTGAGGCAAAGTGCTCTGCCAGGGACAAGGTACCAAACCATCCTTGCACAGCTGGGCTGACCCCGTGCCCAGGCCACAGAACCCAAGGAAATGGCCTCAAGTTGCACCAGGGAAAGTTCAGATTAGATTTTAGGAGAAATCTCTTCACTGAAAGGGTATCCAGGCATTGGGACAGGCTGTCTAAGGAAGTAGTGGATACTTCTGGATCCCTGGAGGTGCTAAAGATCAGGTTGGACAGGGCTTGGAGCAGCCCGGTCTAGGAGGTGTCCCTGCCCACGGTGAGGTGTTGGAACAAAATTATCTCTAAGGTCCTTCCCAACCCAGCCCATTCCAAGTTTCTATTCTGCTTGTGCTTTGCTCCAGGTCCCTCTCAGCCCAACCCAGCACATTCCAAGTTTCTGCTCTGCTTGTGCTTTGCTGCAGGTGGGAACCAGGATGGCAAATTCAGCGTCGGCTTCAGGGATGGGGTGGTGAGGACAGTCGTGAGTCTGGACAGGGAGACCGTGGCATCCTACACACTGATCCTGGAGGCCATTGGTAAGGATTTCCCAGGGATCCCACTGCCACACAGCCACGGATGGTGGCCATGCATGTGTGGAGCTCCCTTGCAGGTGTGTCAGAGGGGCAGCAACCTCTGAGGAGCTCTCCAAACCAGAGCCTGTGCCTGGTGCTAACATTGCACATGTGAATTAATGTGTCCCACTTCCATCATGACTTCTGCAGAGGGTCTATTCTCCTCTCAGATTTGCCCAGCCCCAGGTTTCACCTGGGAAGGCAGGCCCTCCATTCCTGAGAGGCTCCACACTGTCCAAGGAATCCCTGTACCCAAAAATGCCAACTCCACAGCATCGTTCCCCTCCTGCCATGCCAGCCCTTGGCTCTGGGGCTGCTGATTAACCCTGAGCCACCTGGCACGGGCAGAGGGTCCCCGTGCCAAACTCAGCTTGGCTGTCATCCCCAGAGCTTTATAATGATGTGCCTGTTCACAGATGACTTGGATGTCCCTTTGGAGAGGAGAAGTGAGTGGCCTGGACAGAAATGTTGGGGGCACAGCATTGCAGGGGCTGCAGCAGGGATGCTGTACTGCCTGGGCACACAGGACTGGATCCCAAGGGGCAAAGGGTCAGCTCTGCCCCTCCCATGGGGTTCACACGGTCTGTGCTTTCCCAGATCCCACAGGCTCCCAGCTGGGTGGGTTTAGCACTCCTACAAATCCGGCATGTTGAAAAATCCAACCCAATCCATGCTGCCCCCTGCCTCATTCTTCCTGGCAAACCCAAGTGCTGTGCTGCCATGTCCTTGTCTACTGAACATCAACCCATCCTGGTGCTCCTTGACTGTGAGCTGAGCTGCAGCTGTGGAAAATTCACCAGGCTGCCTCCACCTCCCAAATCCTTGGCTCCAGCAGTCCCTTCACTTGGTGCACGGAGCTGCAAATCCTCTCTAATGATCAGTTGCATTTCTGGCCTCACTGGGCTCCACGGCAGAGCTTGGGGGTGGCTTGGCTTTTCCTTTTTCTTGCCGAACAGCATGGTAGATTTGCAAAATAGAAAGGGAGGGGAAAAAAACCCTAAAAACCCATGTGGGATTTAAAAGCTGTGAAAAGATGAAATGTTTTAGTTTAGAAATCTCGATCCTGTTATTTCAGCAGCCATGGGCTGAGCACCTCCTGTGCAAGGAGGAGGTGCCTGAACCTCCCTCCCTTCCTCCTTCCCCTTTGTGTCCCTGCAGACAACGGCCCCACCGGGAACCGGCGCACCGGCACCGCCACCGTGTACGTGACCGTGCTGGATGTCAACGACAACAGGCCCATCTTCCTGCAGAGCAGCTATGAAGTCAGCGTCCCCGAGGACATCCCAGCGGCCAGCAGCATCGTGCAGGCACGTGCCTCTTCCCCTGGGACCCCGGGCTGGGAGCTGGGGATCCCCCACTCACTGTGCCCCGCTGGCAGCACGGGGCAGGGGTTTTCCCTCCCTCCCTGTTCCCTCGGGCAGGGCGAGATGTGTTCTGGTTCATCCACTCCTCTGCCAGCCCAGGCTGGGAGTGCCAGGGAGAAGGCAGCAAAGAACAAGGGGAAATTAAGGAGCTCACCCCATTTCTGCAGGGGGTGAGAGGAGAAGAGCCAAGGCCTGTGCTGGCGAGGCCACTTTGGCTACTCCCCTGCTTTCTCCCTCCTCCCAAGCAGAGATCTTCATGGGGAGGGAGCAGAGTGCCTGCAAAGAGATGCTCAGAGAGGGGGGAAAACCCTCAGAGAGGGAAAGCATTTGGACTTTGCTTTCATGTTTGTGGCTCTTTGAGGGAGCGGTGGGCAGAGCTGAATGGCTCAGTGAGCACGGGATGAATGCGGGTATTCACAGCATCCCTTCAAACCCTGGGCTCTTCTGGAGCAGGCACCAAAGGCTCTTTGCAGAGGGCCCTGGGAAGGCTCCTGCTGCCTTCAATACCTCTGCAGGCACGGGCAAAGGGACAGCTTTGTCCCTGGCTGTGTGAGTCACCGGCAAAGAAGAAAGGAGCCTTTTGCCTCCTGCCACAAAAGGTTTGCTGGGAGCCCTGTGTCTGCTCCAGGCAGCAATCCCCAAGGGATCCTGTGGCTCCTCAGCACCTGCTGTGCCATGGCAAGGTGTACCTGGTGCTCTGGGATCAGCAATCCCGGGATGGAGGTGTGTCCCTGCACAGGAACCCTAAAACTCAGCTGGTTTGGCAAATTGGAGGAAGGGAGGGAACTCGAGTCTGACTGGCAGCAAAGTGCCTGTTCTTAGAATCTGCTTCCCAAAAGAGGGGGATGCCCTTGGAAGTCCATGGCAAAAGAGGGGAAGTAACTGGGGGAAGTTGGTTTTCCACAGAACAGCACGGAAGAGAAACAGAAATGAGCCATCACCCAGCTTCAGTTTAATTTGCACCTTCAGGGTGAACTATTTGTACAGGTCTCTCCCTTCAGTGCATCCCCACATCCCCGGGGTAGCAGGAGAGAGTTTCTGAATGTTTCCCCATCCCTTTCTCCCAGAACCAGGCAGAGCAGGGCCAGAGAGGAGAAATGGGAATGCATTGAACACAGCAACCCAGAGCTCAACCAGCATGGAGGGGGGCGACAGGGACCAGGCAGCACGTGGGGGCACGAGCATCTCTCCACTTGCTCCAGAGGGTAACTCCACTGGGAATTCCTTTCTGTGGAGCAGGCTTGCCCTGGGCTGCCTCTCTTCAGGTAGCCACGTTGCTCCCGGTCTCTTCCAGGCTGTTTGTTCAGGTGCAGCACAACTTGCACAATTGTCTTGGTTTGGAAAGGCAGGAGTCTGCTGAGGAATGCAGGAGCCTCCCCTGAAATGGAGAATGTAAACCCTCCCCACCCCTCCCAATTGCGATGAATTTTAAATTAAGGGGGCTCTCAGGCAAAAATATGGGAGCAGGAAATAACAGTTCTTTAATAGGGAAAAGAAAAAAATATAAAAGGATAAAATAAACAATGCAGTACACTAGAACAACACTGCCAGAGTCAGAACCCAACCTGACACCCTGTGGGTCAGGCTGTTGGTGGCAGTCCCATTGGAAATGTGGCTCAGCCCTCCTGCAGTGTCAGGGGTGGTTCTGTTGGAGCAGGGGGGTCCTGTAGAGAAGGATGTATTCTTCCTCTGAAGATCCAGTGGAAGGAGAGACAGCTGCTGTTCCTCTGGGGAATCCCGTGGAGAAAGCCGTGCTGGTGTCTCAAAATCTCTGGATTATATCTGGGTAGCAATGCTTGGCTCCTCCCCCTGGGCGAAGCATCTCCCAATGGGATGTTATAGTTCTTATCAGCCATGCAGTGACATTCAATAATCTGTTATCAGCAATGTCCCCTCCCCAGGGAGGTGTGATTGTGGTCACTCAAAGAGAGAGATAAGGCAAACTGCTCACTTGACAAAGGTAATCTGCCATACAGATGGTAATGGAATACATGTTACATTGTTTTCAACAACAATATTTTCCAAAAGAAATGAAGCAGCAGGATTTTTTTGGACTGCCCAGTGGTAGCTGTGTGTGGGTGTAGTTTGGATGCCTCCACCTTCCCTGGCAGGAAGCAGTAACCTGGAAAGCATTTGGGAACCTGGCATTGCAAAATCTCCTGCCACAGAGCCTGGAAATGAGCTGCTCCAAGGGTCTCTTCTCAGGATGCTTGAGAAGGGAGCCAAAGCTTGGGAAGGAGGAGCAGGGCAGGATCACATTTTGGTGGACTCCATGATGTCCCAGTCCTGGCTGCTGGGGAAGCTCCTGGGACAGGCCAGGGTGCTCTGAGACACCATCTGGCTCCTCCTGAAGCTGCTGATGGAGCTCCTCAAGGAGCCCAGGCGCTTCCAGAGCCTCAGCTGGGGCTGGCTGGCATCCACGGGGTGCTGGGGCAGCCACTCGTGGGGACCCCAGGGGGAGCGGCCCAGCGCCCGAAGGTGGCAGAGGGTGACAAGGGTCAGCAGCGTGGCCAGCACCAGGAAGATGCAGATGAGCCCCACGATGGTGGGCAGCCAGTCTGTGCCCTCAGGGAAGGTGGCACTGGGTGGCACCGGCTCCAGGAGCCCAAGGAGAGGTGGGGTGGGAGAGGTCCTGTTGTCAGAGCTCATCTTCCCTGAAAGGTGACACAGAGAGGGGATTAGCACATGGCAGATGGACAGACAGCCACCCTCTGGTTAAACCGATGGTTTCTTGTCATGCCAAGATGTCCAGGATTGTCCCAGCCATGTTTTCAGTGGCACAGGGGGGACAGGGGGTGTCCACCCCACACTTGCAAAGCACCACCCTGAACTGAAGTGCAAAAGCACCTGGCAAAAAAATCCACCATTCTTTACGGCCTCTGGGAGGGGACCTACTGGGAGCACACACACATTGCATGAAGATTTTCTGGAAGAGATAAATATCCATGTGCCACAGAAAGCCCAAAATCTTCCCCCCAGGCTGCTGAGGTTTGGTCCTCCTCTGTTCCCCAGACATGCGGGTTTGTTGAATTGCCTGTCATTTGGGGGTTTTGTGATTATACTCCCAAAGAAATTGGACAGTTGGTTGAGCCTGTGCCCTGATAAGTCCCCATTAAGCTGTGGTATGTGCCAGCACTGTCTTTATTACTTTGCAAGGGTGAAGAGTAACACCCTCACCCTACTCATGCCAAAAATCCTCATGCCAGGCATTTTGCTGACCTGCTTTCAGGCTCAGACATGTCACAGGTGATACAAACCAGCCTCCCAAAGTGCTGGCAGTGCCAGCTCTTGCCTAACACCTGCTGGAGACCGTCCTCTTCTTTCCCCAGCAAGTCAGATCCCCCCAAGAGAATTTTGCACCTTTTTTTCCTCACATGAACACTCCCAGCCCCAGCCAGTGGGGCTGGCATCTCTCCAGAGGGAGATGAGGGCTGGGGAAATCCTGTTTGTGCAATGCCCTGTGTGCTGGAGGTGAAGCTCTATTATTATTTATTATCCTTTCCTGTGGAGGTGTGGGAGAGCTGTCTGACTGGTAAACTGGGATTTGGACTGAGCGAATTTAGAACCAAGATCTCAGGAGGGGAAAGGGGACACAGGTGTGTGCAAGGCAGCAGCCAAACACTCACCATAAAACACTCCAAAAAGTGGAGAGAAGACACAAGTTGAAAGGTTTTAATCACTAAGGGTGCATCAGCCTGCTCAGAGTGTGGGGGTCTTTGGGGAGATGGTGCTGTTTGCATGGGGCAGAGCCTGGTCTGTGCCTGGAAAATGGGAATTGCAGAAACCAATTGGTCAGGGCCAGGTCTGTGCCTGGAAAGTGGGAAATGCAAAATCCAATGGGTCAGGGCCAGGTCTGTGCCTGGAAAACGGGAAATGCAAAATCCAATGGGTCAGGGCCAGGTCTGTGCCTGGAAAGTGGGAAATGCAGAATCCAATGGGTCAGGGCGACGTTTGTGCCTGGAAAGTGGGAAATGCAGAAACCAAAGGGTCAGGGTTTGAGAGGGTGAATCCTTGTGTGTGTTGTAGGCAGTTCCAGGGATGGAGCTCTCCTCACCTCCTCCACACCGATGTTTTCACCTCTCTTCACCCCAAATGTATTTTTTTTGTCCATAACCAGCCCTGTTCCTTCCCCTCAGCCTTGGGAACAGAGCAGCACTCCCAAGGACCCCCTGCTCCAGGGACTGCTCCTCTGTGCTGCCAGGGCAGGGCTGCAGAGTGTCCCACTCCACAGGCAGCCTCAATCAGGGTTTCCAGGGCTACCTTCAAGCTGCCATTTACCAAAATGCGTGTGGTGACCTTCCATTGTTGCTGGAGAGCCAGCCAGGAGGCGTGGGCAATTCCTTCAGGCTCTTTCATTCCTTCGGGCTGGGTTTGCTCTCCTGCTCATGGCTGCAGAGTTTGTCTTTTAAATTCACTTGACAGCGTTCCATGGAAACCCATCAGGAGGGATCACACTGGTGTTTTCCCAGGCTTTTTCTGGGAAAAACCAGAAAAAAAGCCATGCCATAGTTCTCTCCTTATACCCAGCTCAGCTGGCAGAGCTCTCATGGCATTGCCCCTTCCCAGCATCACTGTCCCACCCAGGCTCCATATTCTTCATCCTGCTGGATTAAAAGAGATTTTCCTGTTCTGGAAATCCTGCCCAGAGGTTCATCACTCCCTGGTCAGCTTCAAATGTGACACATCCCCGTGAGCATGAGGCAGATGAGGATCAGAGGGGAAAAAAAAGAAATTGCAGAAGGTAAAATGCTCCCAAGAAAGGTGGAAAGGTAGGAAAAGGGAATGATTCTCATGCCTGAGCAGCAGAGAGAGTTCTTCTGCCCAGCACCCCTGGCCTGGCCCAGCTGCCTGCTTTGGCAGTTTTTCCATCTGCTCTCCCTCCCTTTCCTCAAAGTCCTGCAAAGAAAAGCCTGTTCTCAGGCACAGCTCCCATGAAAAGCAGCTCTCATTCCCTTCCCCAGCTTGCCTAGCAACATTTTCCTGGAGCTCCCCAGCTTTTCCCAGTGCCCTGAATATTTCCACGGGCTGGCAGGAGGAGGTGATGCTGGGCAGGACCAGCCTGACCCTCCTGGTTTTGTTCCCAGGGCTGTCAGTGATGCTGCTCCCCATCAGCCCTGCTGGTAAACAGCACAGCTGCCTCCCCAGGACCTTTCCCATCTCCCATCACCGGGGCTGGGAAGGGAGCAGGGATGCCTGACCCCATTCCCACCCCAAACTTTGCATTCTCCACTCATTTTCAGTGCTTTCCCCAGGAGCAAGGATTCCTGACCCCATGCCCACTCCAAACTTTCCATGCCCACCCATTTCCAGTACTTTCCTCAGGAGGAGGGATGCCTGACCCCATTCCCACCCCAAATTTTGCATCCCCACCCATTTCCAGCATTTTCCCCAGAAGGAGGGATGCCTGACCCCATTCCTACCCCAAATTTTGCATCCCCACCCATTTTCAGCTCTTTTCCCAGGAGCAGGGATGCCTGACATTATGCCCACCCCAAATTATCCATCCCCACCCATTTCCAGTGCTTTCCTCAGGAGGAGGGATTCCTGACCCCATGCCCACCCTAAACTTTGCATCCCCATCCATTCCCAGCTCTTTCCCCAGCAGGGATGCCTGCCTCCATGCCCACCCCAAACTTTGCATCCCCACCCATTTCCAGCTCTTTCCCTAGGAGGAGGAGGGATTCCTGACCCCATGCCCACCCCAAACTTTGCACCCCCACCCATTTCCAGCTCTTTTCCATGGCATTATCTCCGCAGCCAGGGGTCTGTCTCAGCCCTGGGGGTGGCCTAGGGAGCTGGCAGTGGCTTTCCCGAGGGGATTTGGGCTCCGTACCTCTCAGCGGCGCTGCCTCCCGCACTCCGGTGCTTCACCGCCTCTCCCACCGCGCTCCGCGGGCTGCCAGCCCCCTCCTCCCGTTGGGGAGGGTGGGACAGAGGTGGCAGCCGGCTGGGGACAGCCTGAGCCAGCCGAGCCAGGGCGCTGCAGTGCCCCGGAGCTGTGTCCTGCTGGGGTCGAGCCCCTCGGGATGCATCTCCTCGGGATTTGTCCCTGTAGGATAAGTGAATGGTGCAGTAGTCGGCTGAGCCTCCCCTCCTCATGCCTGCCCCTCATTTTCCCGGAAAATCGACCTTTTTCCCCATTGTTTTATTGCCCCTCCTCATCCTTTTGTGTCACCTTTCCCCCAGGGCTGTGACAGGCTGGCTGTGCCTGCAGCAGAAGAATAAAGCAGGCTGGAGCTCAGCTTGGCTGCACCAGGTGCTTTCCACCTGCAGCACAAAGAGCTTTTCTCCCACTGCCTGCCCTGCTGTGCCAAGTTTGGGGCAGTTTCTTAAAGTGCCACCTTTCCTTTGGGACCTCAGCAGGTCAAAGCAGCAGCAGCCAAGCTTTCCTCAGGCTGCATCCCACCCCACCCCATCCCATCCCATGGTTTTTCATGTGTGTGAAAAACGCCAATCACTTGTTTTTAAAATTTTAAAAGTTTAATAGTAATAAAATAGTTATAAAAATAGTAATACAATTAGAGTAATAATAATTTGGACAAATTGAATGAGGACAATATGAGACAATAAACACAAAGAGTTACAGACAGTCCAGGTACCTCTTTCTGGGCAGCACGAGCCCCAAAAAGGACCCACGTTAACAGAGGATTAACCCTTAAAAACAACAGGCTGTTACATATTCCTACACCTCATACATGGTGCATAAATTCCATTCAAACACAGGATTCTGTCTGGGCACTGTCAGCTTCTTCCTCTGAATCTTAACAGTGCCTTCGAGGCGGGAAGAAGTTCGTTTCTCCTGATAAGAGGACAATAAATTCTCTTTCTCTGAAAGATTCAGGTGTCCTGTGGCTGCTATCTCTCTGCAAGTCCTTTTTTTTAAAAAAAAAATCCTACATAGCATAGTTTCTATTTTAACATTTTTTATAACCTAAAACAGTATTTAACACACTGCTTAAGAGAATTAATACAGCATTACTTTTTAACACAACACATATTATATTCATTTTAATAGTTGCAAAAAGCCAATCATAAAATAGGCATTTTTCACAATGTGCGGGCACATGGATGAGAAATCCAGATGGAGGTCAGTATTTTCCAAGTTTTCTGCTGATGCAGGGGGGCTTGGTGGAAGGGAACAAGAGCAGCTCAAGGTCCACATTTCAGAGGAGAATCTCTGACTCCTGCAAGCTGTGTGGGGCTGGGAGTGAATGCCCTCACTGTTCCCATTTCATGTGCATCCTTTGCAGCAACCCTTCCTCTTCCCTGCATAAATCTGGGTGCAAACCTTCCCGGGAAAAAAAACTGCTGGGTAGTATTGTGGCAAGAGGCAGAAGATGCCTGGCAGAGGGAAGCAGGGAGAGAATGAAGGCTCAGGCATTCCCTGCATCCTCGCCCTGGTGATTTGTGAGCAGCCACACTGTGTCTGAGCTGTGGGTGCTCTGTGGGGAGTGGGTTTGGACAAGAAAAGATGCAGAGGCTCAGTGCCAGCTGGACTGGGAGCTCTGGCCCTGCTGGTCACTGCCAGGCCCCGCTTCCCAGCTGCTGGCTGGGGTTTGGGGAGAGCACTGCAGTCTGGTTCAGTGACACCAGAGGGGAGCCCTGCCTTGGTTTTCCCGGGGCGAATGGCAGAGCCGTTCCTGCTGTGCACCAGAGCCTGGGGCTGCTCCACCCTGCTCAGGGGCTCACAAGGACGCTCTGGGCTGCTTGCTTTCACATTTCCTTTGGCAGTTTTATCGTGTGCTGCTGCTTGGGTGACTCTCCAGTATGCCGTGGGCTGCGTGCCCACCAGGCTCGGGAGCCGCTCATCCCAGCCAGGCTCCATCCCTGGTGGCAGCGCCACTGGGATAAGCATTGGAATGCAGGGTAGGATTGATCCAGGCTCCTCCTCCAGCACACAGACCCGTGGGATTTGTGGGGTGGTCCTGAGGCTCAGCTCCCACCTCAATCCAGCAGCCAGGGGCTCCTGAGCCCACTGTCCCTGCTGCCCAATGCTGAGGGGAGAGTAACTTAACTTTGCTTTGTGTTTGGTAAGCTCCCCAGCTCAGGTGGAGGAGAAGGACGTCCAGCTTTGGCAGGGTAGGAGGACTCATCCCAGTCTGGAATTCTCTGCCCTTGACCTCTACTCCTCTGCTTTTCTCCTGAAGGTGAAAGCCACGGATGCGGACGAAGGCATTAATGGGAGAGTGTGGTACAGGATTGTCAAGGGTGAGTCCAGGTGCCCTTTCCTGCATCAGGGAGTTTGTCTACCCAGCCTCAGGAGGCTGAGATCGCCATCCTTTTGCACTCTGGAGCCCACAGAACCATTTCTCCCAGCCCTAAGCAAAATTCAGCTTTAGGGCTCATTGCTGGGCAATGATTTGTCATGGATGGACAGCTAGATAGAATCCTAAAATCACAGAATGGTTTGGGTGTGAAGGGACCTTAAAGTTCACCTCATTCCAGCCCCCTGCCATGGGCAGGGACACCTTCCACTACCCCAGTGTGCTCCATGGCCTTGGACACTTCCAGGGATGGAGCAGCCAAACTCCTTTGGGCAGCCTGTGCCAGGGCCTCACCACCCTCACAGGGAAGGATATCATTCCAATATCCCATCTTTCAGTCTGAAGCCATTCCCACTGTTCCTGTCACTCCAGGCCCTTGTCCCAGGTCCCTCTCCAGCCCTCTTGGAGCCTCTTCAGGCACTGGAAGGGGCTCTAAGGTCTCCCTAGAGAACAGCTGAACAGCTCTCCTAGCCTGGAGCCAGAGCAGAGCTGCTCCAGCCCCCAGAGCATCTTTGTGGCTTCCTATAGGCTCACTCCAACGCATCCACATTTTTCTTATTTGATGCCATTCTGTAGCTCCTCCTGGCCTGACCCAGGGCCAAACACTGATGCAGCTGAATCTGATGTAACCAGAGGTGATGGGGCTGAAGTTTTGCTCGATAATCTCCCTCCAAAGAGCCTCCCAGAGAGGGCTCAGTGTGTCCCCAGGACGGGTGTGGGGGCAGTGGGCAGCATCCATCTCGGTTTTTTCCCCATTTCCAGGAAACGAGCACAACCACTTCCGCATCAACCCCAGCACGGGGCTGGTGATGCGGGGAGTGCGGCACCTGGACAGGGAGCAGAACTCCTCCCACGTGCTGGAGGTGGAGGCCTACAACACGGAGCAGGGGCCCATGAGGAGCTCCGTGCGGGTGAGGAGCTCACAGCCGATCGCGCAAAACGCTCGCGATGCTTGGTCCTTCCCAGGACAGGAAATTAGAAAGATCTGGCGTGGGAAGTCTCTGGGGGCTGCTCGTGGCTAGAGAAGAGGTTGTTGGCGGGGGGATTGTTTGATTTTTCTTTTTTCCTGTGGTGTTTTGGTGCTGTTATGCTGCTGAGGCGTGCGGCAGTCGCTCAGAGGGAGTCCTGCTCGCTCGGTGAGATGCGGCTCTGCTGCTGGGAAGAAAAGCTGAGCCTCAGCCTGCTGAAAACCCTGTGTCCTGGCCAGGCACTGTTTAAATAATCCAGAACCCAGTGGTGACAGTTGTCAGCTGCAGCACAGCCGTTTCCCACGGCTCCCACAAGCCCAGCCCTCCACCTATTCTTAGACCCAGTGCTGGGGTGGGCTCTGGCTGACTGTGAGGTGCCCCCAGCACCAACAGCAAGCAGAAAACCAGGAGAAAGAAATGTGTTCCCTGGGGAAACAGCACTGAACTTGGAGCAAAAATTTCCCAGCGAGTCTCTCTGTTGTGAGGTCTCCAGGGGTTTGATCAGGGAATCCCAGAGGATGGAGGAATTGATGCACCCAGGGTGCCTCCTCCCCAGCAGGGAAAGGCTGACTCACTCTGACCCACAGGATCTAATGGTTTTAATCAGATTTAAACATCACAGGCTTAAATTTGGGATGTTAAACCCTTTATGTTCATTCTCCATCCCGTGGTGTTTGTAGAAGAGGTGGCTTGGTTGGGAAAGACAGGAGTCTGCTGAGGAAGGCAGGAGCCTCCCCTGAAATAGAGAATATAAACCCTCCCCACCTCTCCCAATTGCTATGAATTATAAATTAAGGGGCTCTCAGGCAAAAATATGGCAGCAGGAAATAACAATTCTTTAATAGGGAAGGAAAAAAAAAGGATAAAATAAACAATGCAGAACAGGACTGACAGAGTCAGAACCCAACCTGACACCCTGTTGGTCAGGCTGTTGGTGGCAGTCCCATTGGAAATGTGGCTCAGCCCTCCTGCAGTGTCAGTTCTGTTGGAGCAGGGATCCTGTAGAGAAGGATGTATTCTCCCTCTGAAGATCCAGTGGGAGAAGAGGCAGCTGCTGTTCCTCTGGGGAATCCCGTGGAGAAAGCCGTGCTGGTGTCTCAAAAACCTCTGGATTATATCTGGGTAGCAATGCTTGGCTCCTCCCCCTGGGCGGAGCATCTCCCAATGGGATGTTATAGTTCTTATCAGCCATGCAGTGACATTCAATAGTCTGTTATCAGCAATGTCCCCTCCCAAGGGAGGTGTGATTGTGCTCACTCAAAGAGAGAGATAAGGCAAACTGCCCACTTGACAAAGGTAATCTGCCATATAGATGGTAATGGAAAACATCTTGCATTGCAATTTTCAACAAGAAGTTATCACAGGATCATGGAATGGGTTGAGTTGGAAGGGACCTTCAATCCCCCCCTCTGCCATTGTCAGGGACACCTCCACTGGCCCAAGTTGCTCTGAGCCGTGTCCAGCCTGGCTTTGAACACTGAAATGTTTCTCCATGAGCACCATGAAGGGTTGGTTCCCCAGTCTCACCCATTTCCTGTGTGGTTTCTCCGGGGCTCCCCAGGTGATCGTCTACGTGGAGGACGTCAATGACGAGGTGCCAGTGTTCACGCAGCGCCAGTACAGCCGCCTGGGGCTGCGGGAGACGGCGGGGATCGGCACCTCCGTGGCAGTGGTCCGTGCCACCGACCGGGACACAGGTGGGAAGGGCAGGTGGGACACACCCAGTGTGGGGACGGCAGTGAGATGCCAGCCACTGCACGGATCCTCATGGCCCCTCAGCCTGCACAGCTGGCTTTGAGCAAGGCAGCACAGGACGGATAGCTCAGGACGCTCCTGGGGGCAGAGTATCCAAATCCTGGTTTTTGCAGAATGTGGGAATCTGCAAAATTAGAGGGTTTTGGGAAAGCTGCAAAAGGCAGGCCTCAGAGACAGCAGAACTGTGATTAGAGCTAAG